GAAAGTGTTTTTGTTTTTGTTTTATTCTGAAAACCCCTAATGGCCAGTGGTTAATGATGTGAAAGATAAACAAGCTTCATTTGGACTCCATATTTTCTGTGTATTATACATTGTTATTTATGTTAGTGAGACTTTTAAACAATAATTGAAACTTCTCAGTTCTCTATGGAGGACCATGTAATTCCTAATCAGCAAGGACATAAACCTGCTACATGGGGGATTTTTTTTTTTTTAGTACTGTCATTTTCCACAGCACTGTTGTAAAACCCGTATGAAAGTAATGGCATGAGCAACACACCAGGTGTCATCCAAATGAAACATTATAAAAATGTGTGAACAGTCTCAGTCTCCCGCGGGAACAACGAGGTCCATGCACAGGTCTGTGGCACAGTCAATAACAAATTACATTCTCCGAAACTAAGAGGCAACTACTGCAGCATCACCGGCAGAGCGTCAGGTCTGTCACAGAGACACAGAAACAGCGCGAAAAGACAGAGAGGGAATGAGAGAAGGGGAAACAGAGACGATAAGAGAAGGAGACAAAACAGAGAGGCATCCACACACACACACACACACACACACACACACACCGAGCTAAAATTACATTCAAGAGGGCATGAACTAGGCCACTGCTCTGCACTATGCTGGAAAGTGGTAGTTAGCTAATTGAAAAGAGGCTTGCTGAGACCTGAAGGCAACACTGAATGTAGTTAGTGGTTACATGAGAACAGAATATTTCATTTTGAAACAAGAAATAATTTCATTTAAAACTAATGAACAGATTATACGCTATCTTCTTCTTTTAAACTGCAGAAGAAGAAAACATGCAAAGCAAGTCCTTCTCCATGCAGATCATTTGGCAGGATGTGAGAGGACTGAGTGAAATAACTGACTCAGCAGACAGACAACTAGTAGCATCTTCACACACAAAGCAGGCAGGGACAGACAGCCCATAGTCACACCACAGTGACCAACATAAACTGGCACCTAATAAGCATTTCAGACACTAGTTTAATAACATCACAATAACAATAATATGTAACTTCTGCCATTGTGATTGTGAACTGTTTATTTTAGTGATTTTTAAATGTTCTATTTCAATGTTTATTTTTTCCTCTGTCATGATGCTTTTGGTGTCTTGGGTGAAGCACTTTTATTTTGCCTTGTTGTTGAAATGTGCTACATAAATACACTTTTGGATAGACTTTTTGATTTAAAAAAAGGACCTGACTGATGAATACGATTGATTTATTCTTTTATTGATCAGCAGCAAATAGATACTGTGTATTTTCCCAGTTCCCTCCAGATTCTAATGGAACATGAAGTAGGTTTCATTCAAAGCATTGTACGGCTCTACTTAGTAAATACCATTGACATGCTCTTGTAAATAAAGTATTATGATATGTTCCACATCAGCCTGCCAATATTTCTAAAGAAAAGGAAAACATTAAATTGAGACTTCTGGGACTGAAATGTGTTTTGCAGGTTTTCAGTTATGGGAAGTGTAAGACAAAATGTTGACAAACAAATACGTTTCAATCGATGGTGGTAAAACAACAAAGTTATAACACATGATCTGTATATTTATACATTTGTGAATCAAAAATCCATGGCAAACCAACGAACAAACTTCATCCACTCAGACTGCAAACACTAAAGCACATTTGGAGAAAAGTCTCACCAAAGTCAACAGCTTCATCTTCAGGGGACCATCGTTGGCTTTTACATCATTTTGTTTCCATGTCTCTGGTAAATGTTGAGATCATTTTTTTTGCACAAAACGTGAAAGTTTGACCTGGTGGCAACTTCAGGAAAAGTCAGAAGATCACCAAGATCTTTCAGGGTCTAATCTCTGGGCACCAGGCATGTTAGTACTGCTTCTCATGGCAATTAATAAAAACAGCTCAATCAATCAAGTTATATGACACAAGAAACCAAAAATAAGATCCTTAAAATGGAATTAAAGGAATAATCAAAGGATCAAGTGTTCAGTCTGTCCAATAGTTGATGAGATATTTTAGTCTGGATAACATTGGTTGACACGAAGACAAACACAACCTAGCACGTCTAAAATAACTACCAGATGTTAGGCCCAATATAAGGTTTTAGAGAAGAGGATCAAGGGAACAAATAAATAGTCAACTGAGAAATGATTGTTGTTATTATCAATGACAATCAAAGCATGCTGTTAAAGCATGTGTAAACACAAAGCTGAATGTCAGTGTTATTTATCCACTATTAAATAAAGAAGAGGTTTCTCTGAGTGTGGTGGCATTAAAATGGGCCGTAACATTCCTCTAATACAACCAACAAACTGGCAATTCACTGTGGAGGTCGTTCAGCGTGGCTGTATAACAAACAGACCCCACACATTAGGCCTTTGTGCTTCTAGAAACATCAGCCCTTTTTTTTTAAACCCTGCCTGCAGCACAGCCGAGCTACAATGTGCTGACACCATCATCAGCTATTCTAAACCTTTTAGCACAGCTTTATTCCCACATCCTGATAAAGAACAGAGCGAGAGACTAAAAGTGTGAGCGCTTCATTTTAATTTATCTTAATTAAATGTGTCTAATTCTCAGGCTGCTATGATGAGTGGTGCAGGTTTTTTTTTTTTTAATATATTATTGAAGTGTAGATGAGTCTGGCTGGACCTAAATCAACACAGTCACCCTGCAGCTGATGATCCATGGATGAATGGCTTATGTTCCCCTGAGTAGCATACAGATTGTGTAGCCGCAGCAGCAGTAGCATTGTAATAACACATTATTGATCCAAACATGGGAAAATTCATTCATCACTGTACAAGTCAAGCCAACCAATAAATACAAAAACTGTTCTGTTAAACTTGGAGGCATAAATCCTTCAGACAAAGTACAAGTGAAATGTTGAGAACTTGTCAGTGCTTCTTGTTGAGCTCGGCATTTTTTATTTTTTTTGCTATGATATCATTAAATCAACTTAGAGAATCATCATAAATGACATGATGCCAAATGCTCGAACATCATCAAGCACGTCTTTAAACAAAGTAGAGGAAATACTAAATCATGTTGCCTTTGTTATTCACTTTGGAGCACAAACATGAAAGTCAAGACAGAGCAGGGAAGACATGGTTAGAGGACAATAAATACAGCAGCAAGCTGAGAGACAAGTTAGGGGAACAATTGAGTAATTGGTGAGATGCCTTTTTGAGCAAACACAGACTGGAGATGTTACCATCAAACAGAGTCAGTGAAAGAGGCTCCAAGGACTAGTCAATCCACTACTGCTCGACAATTCAGGAAAAAAAAAAAAAAAAAAAGAGCTGAAAGAGCTGATAAATGCCCTCTTCACAACATCAGAGGTGGAGGTGGACTCTACAGTGAGAAAAACCAAAGCAGCATCACTTGACCATCACTCCTAAGGCAACAAAGGAATGCAAAAAAAAAAAAAAAAGCCTGGCACAGCTCAATTTTAGAGCTCCAAAAAAAAAAGAAAAAAAAAAAGATATTCGACCAAAAAGCTGCAGCACCAGAAAAGGGTGAGTGGGGACAGAGATGGTTGACACCCAGCACTCCCTCGTGGCACTATAAGATGATTAAGCCAGTCAAATCAAAGTGTCATGTGTCAGGGATGCACGACTGCAGAAATGGGCCACTTTTGAAGAAAAAAAAAAAAAATGAAGAAAAGAAAACACTTGAAAGATCTGCAGTGTGAGTAAGATCAGCATAGTGGCAGGTGATACCTTGATGCTGAGTCATTTGAACATTTCCATCTAAATGACCATCAATCACATGACCCATAGACCACAAGGGGAGAATGTCTTTTTAATTACTGCCAGCCACTGAAGTGCAAGGACTGCAAACTGCATCACAGCACATCTATAGGCCCTGCAGGCTGCCAACTGGTATGCACAGTATGCTGCTGCCTCGCTGCATGCAGTGCACCATCCACTTTTACATTATGAAGACACTGCATGGCCGGTATGCAAAAGTGTCATTTCTCTTTCTGGATCTGCATTTAAAATCCCCTAAAAATGGCACTGTGGCAGTCCAGAACAAGACGCAAACCAGGACAGGCGTAGGGGAGCCGCACGTCCCCCCCTGACAGCCAGAGTGAGACATGCCCTGCCCTCATTAGTGCAGAGAGGACAGGCTACCTGTGGCCTATCAATGATCTCTGACAGCCCATCAGCCAACCTGTGGTGGTGGTGGGGGGGGGGAGAGACAGGCCAGCACAAGAGCGAGCAGCCCGGGCTACAGGTTATCTGCTGCAGTGCATCTCCCCGGTGCTCTGCGGTGTCAACATATCCCTCTCTGTCTGCAAGGGGGTTCCGACCAAAAATGTGATCTCCAATGCAACGCCATGTGGGCTAGCATAGACCAAAAAGCTGAGCGGAGTTAGCGTTACCTTGACAGTGAGACAACCCCATATTTCTCCCCCCCCCCAAAAAAAAAAAAAAACTTGCGCTGTATCTTTAAAAGAAAAGACCCGACAGCTAAACAGCGAACAAACTTTCTTCAAGACAGGCCTACGCAAGACATCTTGGCCTCCCGCGTCCTGACATGACGAGGTGGGTTCACATTGATGATGGGGGCAGCTAGACCCGGGCTAATGTGGCCTGGTGTAGCCCCTACTCCTTTATGCGCCTCTTTCTCTCCCCCCCCCATTCTCTCCATCCCCTCTCTCTCTCTCTCTCTCGACGCCATCTGTTTGTGGCATGAGAGAATGTGGAAGTAAAAAAAGAAAAGACGACATTTTGACTGTAGTTGTTGACCTACATCGACCATTTGTAAGAAGAATAAGGTGAAATCAACGCCGAGAGACGGCCGTGCAAATCGTACGAGCTTCAAAATCGCCGCACATAAGGCGCATACATTTAGTCTCCTGGTCAGGAGGAATTTAATAAGTTACGCTTGAAACACTCCTCCGCCTCGCCGGGGCCGGACAAGTCAACGCCGTGTAAACGTTTCCTCTTCAAGATCGCCAAGAGAAAGAGAGACAGAAAACAAGCAACTCACCTGATTCCAAAATCGGTTTATGGTGGCGACGTGATTGTGGTTGATTTTAATGTGGGGAAAAAAAACAGTTTCAAACGGAGGTGTCCCCGTTGTGTGGAGCAGGAAGGAGGGAAGGGAAGGCAGGAGAGAGGGGCTGACGTGAATGAATAAACAACTGAGCTCCTCCTCAACGCCACAAGTAAAGGCGGTATAATGCTCACTTAGTGAAAATCACCACCACACGTCAAGCAATCTTTATGGAGGCTACTGTGAAACAATTTTAAGCAATGATTTTTTTGACGAACTCTACGACCTTTCATATCGACTATTTGGAAGGCTATTCAATCCAGATATTGTTTTGGCGATGGCCTATTGCGTAAAATGCGCTTTTTTTTTTTTTTTAAGAACTACATGTGTATTTTTTATTGTAATATTGAGAAACAAAAAACGGGACTTGTTTTTCTTTGATTTAAAACACATTATTTGCACGATATTAAATAAATCCACCAGATGGCGCTGTGTATGCATCCCACAACAGGACTGAATTAAGCAACGATGTTGGCAAAGCTCCATAAAACATACCGTCCAGAGTAAGACAAATGTTTTACTTTTATGACATCATAATAATAACTAGTTGATGACTCTGATAAGATACCTGAAGCCTAACTCATCTGGATTTAGTTTCAAAGTAGAAAAGTGCACCCTGGACTAAGACTGTTTCCAGGCTTAGGTTAATGTCACGATAACCTTTATTTTGAAATCAAGCCTTAAATCTGGTTTAAGTAGAAAGCAGAGATTTATTCCCCCCTTTAGCAGATACATTCAAAACTGTATTTATGGTATCAAACTCTACTGAATTCCTCAGGCCAAAAACTTATTGACAAAGAAAACCCCAAAAGGTTTGGCAGGAATTTAAAAATGAACAAGGCTGAAGTGTCTCTGGCTACGTAAAGATGAATCTCATAATCTTTCAAAGATTGGTATTCTATTTCAATGTAGGCAAAAGCTGTTGCCTTTATATTTTGATGATGAAGAATGATATCACCCTGATAACAGAAATTCACTGTGAAAATATCCTCACATTTTTTACTTTTTTTTTCTTATTTATTGATTAAGTCAGTCATAAAATAATTTAAATAGATGGGACGAGCAGAGGGACATTTAAGAATAATACAACCTACTCACATTTTTTTAGGCAAATGAATCCAAGTGATGAATATTGATTTTTTTTTTAAATATTTACCTTCAGGTAAGCAGCTGATCGAGTCGATGCAGAATCTTTAAATAATGAATTTAATTTGTGAAGCTGAACTGCAATGAATGCTCTATGAGCAGTTTACACCTCTGACACTAGAGGGCAATATCACTTCACTTAACAAATTTGACTGAACGGTAAAGATTTTTCAATGGCCAAATGATTATGGTCTCAAACTATTGCAATTCCTTAATTTATTGACTTCTTTAATGTGTGAACAATGACATCGTCGCTACAACTTTAAACTGTCAAGGTAGAGCAGGTCCAACATTATGTTCTCTCCTGAAGCCAATCATGTCCACTGGTATCATCCTTACAGGGAACTCATTTTAAAACACCAGTAGGATGTAGTCTGAGCCAGATAATGAGTTTCTGTTAACAGAAAATGATTGATGGTCTGTGTAATTGTGAAGAATACAGATGTGCTGTGCTATCAGTCTCCACAGAAGGCCGTGCAGCCCCCTGCATCCTGTGATTATCCAGCGTTATTGACAGATTAGGCTCTTTTACATAAAGATGCTGCTGTGCTCTTCAGTACACAGAGGCTCATCAATATGAATGCACTGTGAATTTAAAAGGCTGCAGGTTAGCGCTCTTGAACTTAGGTTCAAACTGTGTCAGCAAAGTGAGATGAGTTTTTATTGATTGCTATTTGTGAGAACACGGCATGCATTGTCTGAGGGAAGATCTGCCTGTCTTCCCACAGGTACAGACCAGTTCTTGAGCATTCAAAGGACAGTGTGTGGGTGTTTGGGAAGCTTACTGGGTTAAAAGTCATTCTTCAGGACATTTGAGGCTTTTTCACATCTTTTGTTAGAGGATATTATTCTGTGTTTCTTTTATCTGTAGGCAGAATAAATGCTGTTCACACAATATTTTAAACATGCGGCAAAGGCTTTGACTTACATGGAAATATGCTTCTTTTTTCCATGCCAACTTATTAATATTCCAGTCATGTACTGTTAGTTCAGCATGATGCGCTACCATGATAATTTATCTGCATGCTTTTTTTCGCATTGCAGAAATCTGTGCTGTGAAGTCTTTTAAAATGGCTTAAAATGTTGTTCCTGTGGGTGGTTGATTCAAAAGCAAGTCCCATCTCCTCCTCCTCTTCGCCTACCACCTCTCTGCCCTGCCTGTCTAGACTGTGATTACCATCTGCTTCAGCACTCTGGACGCTCCACTGTTTACTGTGCTCTCTCCCCATCTCTCTCTCTCTCTCTCTCACAAATAAAAACAGACACAAACACAACGTGATACAGCACTAAAGCAGATTCTCCTCTGTCCCTTTTGCCAATCATTTACATATAATTCAAAGCATATTTATCATTGCATCCCAGCAAGAGAAGCTGGTGTCCATCCTGTAAATACTGTATTTCCAGACTAATGCATGCATAGTGTGGTGTGTGTTGAGTTTCTGTCAATTTCTTCCTCTCAAGATGAAAAACATGTTGCACAATGATTAATTTGAAACAGATATTGTCTCTGAGGGAAAATGCATCAGAGAAATATTTTGCCATGTGCTCCCTGTTATGTCCTCAGCTGGCTGAGATCTGTTTTATGATTAAGTACAATTTTCTTCCAAAACCACACACGATTGAGCCAATGATGAGGTCATCTGCTCACCAATTATGTAACAAGTATTTGACAGTGAATTTAAGACAAATTTTGCTGGCAGAATCACAGGTATTTGGGCAGGACTAGGCCGCATACCTGACGTTTTTTTGCAAGGTTAACTTTTGCTAGATGCTGACTGAACTTTTATGATTGTTGATTGGTGTCCAAAACTCCCATTGAGGTCATTTTTAGAGCAGTTTTCTTTGTCTTTCAATTACATAGCAGTTCAGTGCTTTGATTCAAATTAGGCTTTGGGACCAAGCTCTCTAACTGGAGATCATTTTGTGCAGACATTCATGTTCCCCGGTGGATAACTCCTTATGACTTTGGTGATCAACAGAACTTTCATCTAGCTTAACCAGCTTTACGCTTTTTGCTTTTAGGCTAATATTTCAACAACTTGTTGATGGTTTTAATATTTTTTTTATATATGTATATATTGCTATTTATGTTCCTGTCAGAAAAAAATGTTATCTTTTTGTTGATTTCACTTTAAACCTTAACAACAAGTTGACTTGTGTCCTAAACCTCAGCTGTGTGTTGTTTTTGTTCTAATTAAGACATTTTTGTATGCTAACATGATACACTATGATATTATGATGACAAACTACTTGATGAACATGTAACAATTTGACCCACTTACTTCTAGCATGAAATGTTATCTAGAGGAGGTAAGAATTTAGTTTCACCAGTCACCCAGGCGTCTTTGTTTCAGGGGCTTCTTCTCAAGGAGTTAAAAGCTGCTATCAGCCCATTGTCATCTGTCGTCAATGCTGCAAGTCCTACCTCAAAGTCCTTTTACTGTCAGAAAGAATCACCGGTCCAGCCAGGCAGGGGCGTGTCCAGAGAGGTGGCGGAAGGTTGCATTGCCCCCCATAGAAATCTAATTGGCCACCCCAGGTGCCACCCCAAAAAAATCCTAAACTGTGATTGTCTATTTGCCCTGTCAGAGGCGGGACTTATGTTGAGACCAACTATTAGGTATTTTTTTGCAGAAGGTTGCTAATATTTTTTATATCAATGTAGCATATTTTCTTTTGATTGCACTTTACATTGTAAATAAAAACTTTGCACATCTATTTCACAAGACATAGATAGTCTTAGTACATAGGAAAGTAATGCACTTGCAATGAAGCCTGTCTTCCTGTGATGAAAATGCAACTTTTAGTGTGTCATAGGTCAGTGTGAGCCTGTTGTAGGTTGGTGGTCTTGTTCTTCGATGATATATTTGGTAATTAGTATTAAACTGAAATATTAAAATCATTTCCTTTGATACATATCTGAGGCTCAAATTTAATTTATATCCTCTTTAAGGACTTAACCCAGCTCACACTGAAGACAGCGCTTATCAATCACTCGATAAGTCATCTATGTTTTAATAAGAAGTCATAAAAAGGAAAGTGTGCTGGTTCTGTTAACCATTGGATTATAACTTTGGGCCCCATTTGTTTGGCTGCTATTCATTCAAGCAAGTGTAGTACTCTGTTTTCCCATTTACTTGACAGCTTGTTTTTAATGGGGTGTAACTGTATTACCTCATTCGTCCTCTGAAGAGCTTGCTCCAGGCTTTCAGTGCTTTCCAGAGATGTTCAGGGAGGGCGTGTTGGGGCAACCGAAGTTCACATGTTCAAATTCAAACCAAATCCCTCGGAGAATGCACGAGCAGTTGCGTAAGAGCGTTTTTTAAAGAAACATCCTCTGTTGTCATGAAGCATTTAAAAGAAGAGAACATTCTTACTGTGTGTTTTTAACAGCTGTGCGTGTAGGCTCAGATAAGGACTTTTACTCCAGCTGTAAACATAAGAATTGTTCCAACGTGTGTACGTGTACGTCCTACTTTATGCATGCTTCTTTAAAAAATGCATAACATACTACGCAGCGTTGAAGGTGGTACATACACATTCCACAGTTGAAGCAAAAACATGTGAACTAACAGGTGTGTGAATGCAACTCTGGGGTCACAGTGTCTCCAGAATCCCACTCTAGTGAGGGGTTAAATATAGAAGAGGTCGCTCTTGACCCCAGATTACACACCCATAATTACCACAGGGGCATTCACAGCACATGGCACCAGTGCCTTGTGCCTATTCCAGGATATACATCTCAGTTAGGTATGTTCAGGAGTGTGCACTTTAACAGACAGTCTGTCTACAGACGGACAAGAAAAGGAAGGAGACGTCTTTATCGACAACTGAGTGACACAGGCAGATTTGGTGCCACCATGGAGGTCTTAGAGCCCCTACTGTATATCTTGAACTTTTCACTGCATACTGTCATGGTTTCTACATTTGGTGAATAAAGCAA